TGTTTAGTGGAATATACTGCCTTGGAGGGTGGTGGAGTCTCCTTCTCTGGAGGTTTTTTAGAAGCTGAAAAGCTCTCCGTTGGGGGTACTTTGGCTGTGTATTTCTGCAAAGCAGTGGGTTGGACTGGATTACCTTTGTGGTCTCTTCCAATTCTATGATTCTACTAGCCGTCCCCTGCCACGCATTGCTGTGCCCCACATGGGGGTTCTGTGTGGAAGGTTTGGCCCAATTCTATTGTTGGTGGGGTTCAAAATGCTGTGTGATTGTAGGCGAACTATAAAGCCCAGGAACTACTACTCCCAAATGTCAAGATTCTATTTTCCCCAGACTCCACCAGTGTTCACATTTGGGCATATTGAGTATTCTTGTAGAGTTTGGTCCAGATCCATCATTGTTTGGGTCCACAGTGATCTCTGGATGTAGGTGAACTACAACTCCAAAAACAAAGGGCACTGCCCTCCAGACCCTTCCAGTATTTTCTGCTGGTCATGGGAGAACAATGTGCCAAGTTTGGTTAAATTCCATCGTTGGTGGGGTTCAGAACGTTCTTTGATTGTAGGTGAACTATAATCCCAGCAACTACAACTCCGAAATGACAAAATCAAATTTTTTGAGTGAAAGACATACATCATATTGTTAGGTGTCTTGTGTCCAAATTTGGTGTCAATTCGTCCAGTGGTTTTTGAGTTCTATTAATCCCACAAACCAACATTACATTTTTATTTATATAGATAAGTTTCCCAAGAAAACCTAGCCATAACCAGGATCCAAGAAGCATTCAGTTCCAAGCTTGTCAAATGGGTGTAAATCATATAATCTCCCAGATGCTGCTGGACTGCAACTCCCAGCATTCCTCAATATTGAATGAGTTGGCTAGGGCTGGAGCAACACAAGGGATACCAGTCTTTGAAGCTTGCTGTAAGGTGAACCAATTCAATTAAGCACTCATCTACACTGACCACTTAGGTTGGTTCCAAACCAGTTTTGCAGAAACCAATTTCACTTTACAAATGATTAGATTGCCATTTCTGGAACAGGTCCAAGGCCAGGGTGCTGATTACATTAATTATTACATTAATGCCGTATTTATGTCTTGATTGCTACTGAAGAATGCATATCTTTTCTCCCATTTCCAGGGGAGATGTGTACATGCTCCGGAGGCACACAAGGTGGAAAGTATTCCATTTTCTATCCCATGTGCTACCACTGCCCAGAAATGCCCTTGGATTTTCATCAGCCTGCCCAAATTTAGCAACGTATATCAGCGGAGCCAATTTCACAATGTGATGTGGTTTAAAATGCACCCATGTTGCAGCACATTCAGGGCTTAGAATGATAGAACCTAGACTTGGAAGAGACCACAAGGACCATCCAGTCCAACCCCTTCTGTCATGAAGGAAGACACAATCAAAGCCCCCCTGACAGATGGCCATCCTGCCTCTGTTTAAAAGAAAACTCCAGAGAAGGAGACTCCACCACACTTCAAGGAAACCACATATTTCTCTGCTCTTACCATCAGGAAGTTCTTGCTAATGCTTAGGTATTATTTTTCCTTATTTTCGACTTTCCCGCAACTTACCTTAAGTCAGTTTAAACTCCTTAAAGCACACTACAATGTAGGGTGTGTTGTCTGGCTGCCAACCAATTCTACTGTTTATCTCTAGTACAATCTCCTCATAGTGCAGTTCCTGAAATCCAAGCAGTTATATTAGCAATAGCATGAGGACAACAACAACAACAACACATTATATTACTTGCTTCTCTTGATGGCTTGGGGCGAAGTACAACAAACTAAAAAATAAATGAAAATAAATCTATATAAATAAAAATGTAATGTTCGTTTGTGGGATTAGCATAACTCAAAAACCACTGGACGAATTGTCACCAAATTTGGGCACAAGACACCTAACAACTCAATGTATGTACTTCACTCAAAAAATTGATTTTGTCTTTTGGAAGTTGTAATTGCTGGGATTTATAGTTCACCTACAATCAAAGAGCATTCTGATTGTAGGTGGTCATGGAATTGAACCAAACTTGGCACACAGTTCTCCCATGACCAACAGAAAATACTGGAAGGATTTGGTGGGCAGTGTCCTTTGGTTTTGGAGTTGTAGTTCACCTACATCCAGAGATCACTGTGGACTCAAACAATGATGGATCTGGACCAAACTCTACACGAATACTCAATATGCCCAAATGTGAACACTGGTGGAGTTTGGGAAAATAGAATCTTGACATTTGGGAGTTGTAGTTGCTGGGATTTATAGTTCACCTACAATCACAGAGCATTCTGAACCCCACCAACGATAGAATTGGGCCAAACCTCCCACACAGAACCCCCATGTGGGCCACAGCAATGTGTGGTGGGGGACGGCTAGTATACAATTAATTACTAAATTTCATAGATAAATACACACACACACACACATTGTATTCACTCGATTCTAATGCTCACTTTTTTTTTAACTAATTTACCTTCCCAAAATTAGGGTGCACGTTAGATTCACGTAATATGGTAAATACTTTTTTGAGTTTCAGGGTTTTGAAAATTGGGGTGCACATTAGGTTTGATGGCACAATTGTTGTTGTTTATTCGTTCAGTCGCTTCCGACTCTTCATGACCTCATGGACTATCCCATGCTAGAGCTCCCTGTCTGCCATCACCACCCCCAGCTCCTTCAGAGTCAATCCAATCACTTAAAGGATACCATCCATCCATCTTGCCCTTGGTCGGCCCCTCTTCCTTTTTCCTTCAATTTTCCCCAGCATAATTGTCTTCTCTAAGCTTTCCTTTCTTCTGATGATGTGGCCAAAGTACTTCATCTTGGCCTCTACTATCCTTCCCTCCAATGAGTACTCGGGGCTTTATTTCCTAAAGTATGGACTGGTTGTATCTTCTCGCTGTCCAAGGCACTCTCAGAACTTTCCTCCAACACCACAGTTCAAAAGCATCTCTCTTCCTTCGCTCAGTCTTCCTTATGGTCCAGCTCTCACATACGTAGGTTACTACAGGGAATACCATGGCTTTGATTATGCGGATCTTTGTTGCCAGTGTGATGTCTCTACTCTTTACTATTTTATCGAGATTGGTCATTGCTCTCCTCCCAAGGAGTAAACGTCTTCTGATTTCTTGGCTGCAGTAATCTGTGTCTGCAGTAATCTTTGCACCTAGAAATACAACGTGTGTCACAGCCTCCACGTTTTCTCCCTCTATTTGCCAGTTATCAATCAGTCTGGTTGCCAGAATCTTGGCTTTTTAAAAAAAGTTTAACTGCAACCCAGCTTTTGCACTTTCTTCTTTTACCTTGGTTAGAAGTCTCCTCAGCTCCTCCTTGCTTTCGGCCATCAATTTATTTATTTGTTTGTTTGTTTGTTTTATTTTATTTATTTAGAACTTTTATATACCGGTCTTCTCACCTCCAGAGAGGGACTCAGGCCGGTTTACAACAAAGATTCATAAACAATAGTTAAAACATCACACCCCATAAACATTAATACATAAAATACATTAAAAACAATCATATAATTACATAACTCCAAGTTGTCCAAAGGATATCACAATTAATTACCATCCGTCCGTGTGGCCAGAAGTTCTTGACTCACTCATCAAATGCTAAATTCCAGAGCCAAGTTTTCACCAATTTTCTACAAGTCAGGAGGGAAGGGGCAGTTCTAATCTCCAGTGGGAGAGAGTTCCAGAGCCGAGGGGCCACCACCGAGAAGGCCCTGTCCCTCGTCCCCACCAGATGCACCTGCGAGGATGGTGGGACCGAGAGCAGGGCCCCTCCGGAAGATCTTAACAATGGTTCATAGGGGAGAATCCGTTCGGACAGGTAAACTGGGCCGGAGTCGTTTAGGGATTTATAGGTCAACACCAGCACATCAAAGTGGTATCATCTGCATATCTGAGGTTGTTGATGTTTCTTTCAGCAATTCCTCGAGCCCTGCACATTGCAGGATGTGTTCTTTATACAACAGACTCAAAAAAAAATACAGGTATATGAAAATGTATACCAAACACAGCCACAGAATTGACATATAGTGGTAACAGAATGTCAGTGTCCTAAGAGACTGTCTGTGTGGGAGAAGGTGGTCCTTTAGGTAAGCTGCACCCAAACCATGTAGGATTTTAATGGTAAAATCCAACACCTTGTACTTTGTCCAGAAACTAATTGGCAGACAGTGGAGTGACTTTAGTATGGATGTGATATGCTCACTCCTGGATGTTCCCATAACCAATCTGGCTGCTGTATTTTGAACTAACTGGAGTTTCTGAACTTAGTACAAAGCTACCTTTACATTTGAAATAATGCTGCTAGGTAACAAGTAGCAAGAGCTAGTGTGGCCTTGTGATTTGGATTTTGTACAATGGCTCCAGAGATCAGGGTTTGATTCCTGTCTTGGTCGTGGAAACACACTGAGTGACAGTGTACGAGTCACACTCTCTCAGCCCCAGGAAACCCTGGGGATCACCATAAGTGGGAAGTGGAGACACACAACAACAACAACACTAGTTTAAGCTTCCTGTTTAAAGATACAGGAAACGACTCCGGCTTTACCCCTGGCAAGCCTATTAAGAGAAGAAATTAGAGAAATTAGATGACATGGCCCCATTTCTATATGTGTCACACCCAAAGCACAAAACTTCAGATTTCACCTAGTAATTAAACATGGTTTTATTTTTTGGTTTAAGGAAGAACTGGCTCACATCCTGCTTATTTGATGGTTTTCAGAAGGAAACATGAGTAATCTCCAGATGAATGAATCCAGCTTTTTTTTTTTTTGCTTCGCACGAGAACCTGAAGTCTAGTGACAGAATGTAAGAGCAGTACCTCTTTAGACGTTTCTATAGCAACTGAGGTTTTTTTTCGAAAACTCAACTCATGTTCCTAGAGACTATGCGAAATGATGCTCTACATTAACTTCCGGGATTAAATTGAAAGCCGACCTTGGCTTAATAAGTATTCCACCGCAGCTTACTTCCGGTTCCGCTTTGAGGCGACCATATCTGAATCAGAGGCGTCAGTCTGAATCTGATGAATGAAATGATGCCTCTCTGGGCTTGAGGTCACTCTCGTACATGTCCATGGGGGTTGGTATCCATGGGAGGTCCTGGAAGCGAGCCCCCACTGTGTATGGCATTGGTTTGTGCATTTCAATTTGTTACATAATTGATTTGTTGTAGGTTTTTTCAGGCTGTATGGCCATGATTTAGAGGCATTCTCTCCTGACGTTTCGCCTGCATCTATGGGTGGAAAAGTGTTCTTGCCATACATCAAGGGAACCAGTGACCGCATAGGGAAACTGATGAGGAAACACAACCTACAAACTATCTACAGACCCCAAAAACCCCAAAGACTCCACCCCACTCAGACCCATCGTGAGTGCCAGCTGAGAAAGGGTAAACTAGGGGCCATAGGTGGTACAGTGGGTTAAACCCATGTGCTGCTGAACTGCTGACCTGAAGGTTGGCAGTTCCAATCCGTGGGCCAGGGTGAGCTCCCACTGTTAGCCCTAGCTCCGGTCAACCTAGCAGTTTGAAGAAATGCAAATATGAGTAGATCAATAGGTACAACCTTTGTGGAAAAAGGCAAAAATACACTCCATGCAGTCATGCTGGCCACATGACCAGGAGGTGTCTACGGACAATGCAGACTCCTCATCTTGCAAATGGAGATGAGCACTTCCTCCTGAGCCAGAGATGAGCATGGCCTCCAGAGCCGGAAATGAATAGAGATACCTTTGCCTTTGGGCCCTTCCACACACCTCTATCTCCCGGAATATCAAGGCAGAAAATCCCACAATATCTGCTTTGAACTGGGTTATCCAAGTCCATACTCAGATAGTGTGGGATTTTCTGCCTTGAGATTCTGGGAGATAGGGCTGTATGGAGATTATTTATTTATTTATTTATTTATTTATTTCGGTTGCTTCTACCCCGCCCTTCTCACCCCGGGGGGGGGGGGGGGACTCAGGGCGGCTTACAAAAGCAAGGCACAATTCGATGCCCGCATCACATAACAGCAAAAGACAATAACATCAGTTACCAAAAACAGCAATTCTAGCCATAACAACAATTAACAGAAAACAATTATTATTATAGGCAAAAACAACCATAAAACCAGCGTTTCACAATCTCATAGTTAAATTCCAATTCCACAGTTGTCAGTCCTTTCAGTCCTATCCATCTGGTTTCCATATTTAATTGTCAGATTGCCCAAAGGCCTGGTCCCATAACCACGTCTTTACCTTCCTCCTGAAGGCGAGGAGGGATGTTGATGCCCTGATATCCCCCGGGAGTGAGTTCCACAGGTGAGGGGCCACCACTGAGAAGGCCCTGCTCCTCATCCCCACCAGCCTCACTTGTGATAGCGGTGGGGTCGAGAGCAGGGCCCCCCCAGATGATCTCAAATTCTGGGTGGGACGTAGAGCGAGATACGTTCGGAAAGATACACAGGACCGGAACCGTAAAGGGTTTTGTAGGTCAAAACCAGCTCCTTGAATTGTGCTTGGAATTGAACTGGCAGCCAGTGGAGATGATGCAGCAGGGGGGTGGTGTGTTCCCTGTATGTCACTCCGGTAAGCAATCTGGCTGCCGCTCGTTGGACCAGTTGAAGTTTCCGAACAGTCTTGAAGGGCAACCCCACGTAGAGTGCGTTGCAGTAGTCTATACGGGATGTAACAAGAGCGTGGACCACTGTGGGCAGATCAGACTTCCCAAGGTACGGGCGCAACTGGTGCACAAGTTTTAATTGCGCAAAAGCTCTCCCGGCCACCGCCGAGACCTGGGGTTCCAGGTCTGCCTGTCTATATGTCATTGTATTTCATTGTAACAAGGCTCTGAATGTATTGTCGAAGGCTTTCATGGCCGGAATCACTGGGTTGTTGTAGGTTTTTTCGGGCTATATGGCCATGGACTAGAGGCATTCTCTCCTGACGTTTCGCCTGCATCTATGGCAAGCATCCTCAGAGGTAGTGAGGTCTGTTGGAACTAAGAAAAAGGGTTTATATATCTGTGGAATGACCAGGGTGGGACAAAGGACTCTTGTCTGCTGGAGCTAGGTGTGAATGTTTCAACTGACCACCTTGATTAACATATAATGGCCTAACAGTGCCTAGAGCAAACCTTTGTTGAGAGGTGATTAGATGTCCTTGTTTGTTTCCTCTGTTGTTGTGCTGTTGTAATTTTAGAGGGTTTTTTTTAATACTGGTAGCCAGATTTTGTTCATTTTCATGGTTTCCTCCTTTCTGTTGAAATTGTCCACATGCTTGTGTATTTATATGGCCATTATATGCAAATCTAGGTGGTCAGTTGAAACATTCACACCTAACTCCAGCAGACCAGAGTCCTTTGTCTCACCCTGGTCATTCCACAAATATATAAAGCCTTTTTCCTAGTTCCAACAGACCTCACTACCTCTGAGGATGCTTGCCATAGATGCAGGCGAAACGTCGAGAGAGAATGCCTCTAGAACATGGCCATATAGCCCAAAAAAAACCTATAACAACCAAGGCTCTGAATGTTTGCTTGTGTCTGTTTATATACTGTGATCCACTTTGAGGGATCACAGGGAGAAGGGCGGAATATAAATAGGGTGTTGTTGTTATTATTATTATTATTATTATTATTATTATTATTATTATTAGTACTACCATGCCTGCCACCTGCAAGCTAATTGATGGAATCTTAGATTCTGATTCTATTTTCCACCAAATCTTGCATTCAACTCGGGGCATTCCAGAACTTCAATGCTCAGGCCAATGGACTGCTGCACTGAGCTCTTAAAACATTGACAGCTGCCTTCCTAGGTCCCTTCTACACTGCCATGTAATCCAGATTATCAAAGCCAAAAATCCACATAAACTGCTTTGAACTGGATTATATGAGTCTACACTGCCTCATAATCCAGTTCAAAGCAGAAAAACTGGATTTTATATGGCAGTGTAGATGGGTCCCTAGTTTTCTCCCCAATGGGAGAGAAAACCACATTATCCAACTGTGTTCAACATGAAAGTACAAGGACAAGAATGACTGCTAACCCTGGCTAAGTGCCTAAGCAACCTGACATTTAATGTGTCACCTGCCACTTTGACTGCCAGGCCGTCAAATGCTAATGAAGGTGGTAAGTTGAAACATTCACACCTAGCTCCAACAGACAAGAGTTCTTTCTCCCACCCTGGTCATTCCACAGATATATAAACCCTTTTTCCTCGTTCCAACAGACCTCACAACTTCTGAGGATGCTTGCCATAGATGCAGGCGAAACATCAGGAGAGAATGCCTCAAGAACATGGCCATATAGCCCGAAAAAACCTACAACAACCCAGTGATTCTGGCCATGAAAGCCTTCAACAATACATTCTTACATAATTGTCTTGCACTCATTTTATAATTGCATCATTCCTTCCTTCCTTGAATCTATATGTATTTATGGTATGCCTTTGGAAAGACTGGCAGGCTTTTTACTGTCAAAAGGAAAATGGGTTCCCTTTATTTATTTTGTATCAAAAGCATTGCATAAATTAGTATAAAACAGATAAAATAGAAGGTATGCAGGCGGCTTAATATCCTTTGACTAAAAACGGGCAACAGCAATGGCATTGTCTGTAGCCTCCAACAACTCTTCCTCTGTACATGAGGCAGGGCATAGTGGACAAGCATACAGATGCGGTGTTGTCTGTTCTGCTCCACAATCACACAAGGTGTGGGATTCTTTTAGGTAGTGCCATTTTGCCAGGTTGTCTTTTGATCTGCCCACTTGACTTCTGACTCTATTCAGGGACTTCCAGGTTGCCCATTCTTGGTTTGCCCCTGGAGGAAAACCCTCCATCCAGTTGGGATTTCCTGATTTAGCTGCCCAGAGGGATACCCTTGCTGTTGCTGGAGGGACGCCAAGAGGAGTGGTAGTTCTCATAAAGCTTTTCCTTGATTTGAGTCTACTGGGAGGAGGCTGGTAGCCATGTAGTGGATGGCTTTCAGTGTTCAACCTTATTTCTCTCACATTTAGCACCAACTTCCCGTCGCACATTGGGGGGAGGGGGGGAGCAATGCCAGCAAGCTTGTAGAGTTTATCAATAGGTGTAAGTTTAAGACATCCTGTGATTATTCTGCATGTTTTATTCAATGCTATGTTCACCAGCTTTGCATGGGCAGACTTATGCCAAACAGGGCAGGCATACTCGGCAGTTGAGTAAGACAAGGCTAGGGCTGATGTTCTTATTAATTTTGGGTCTGCACCCCATGTGCTTCCAGTAAGTTTCCGCAGGATGTTATTGTGTGCAGCTACTTTATTTATTTATTTATTTAAAACAATTATATTCTGCTCTTCTCACCCCGAAGGGGACTCAGGGCGGAGCATTACATATATACGGCAAACATTCAATGCCGGGACAAGAATTCATATACATATACATAAACATTAAACACATTAATGGTGTTCAAGCAGTATTTCCTATATGCTAGTGTTTGATCTAAGGTGACACAGAGATATTTAGGATGGAAACAATGTTTAAGCTCTTGACCTTCCCAGGTGACTTTCAATTTCCTGTTGGCTTCATGGTTGCGTAGGTGGAAAGCACACATTTGTGTCTTGGCAGGGTTAGGCTTCAGGTGGTTATCTTTGAAGTACTTGGAGTTGGCTAAAATTTCTGACTGATCTAGAACCTAAGGGAAAACAAGTGCTCATGCAATGCACTCGATATATCTATTCTCAGTTGGACCTAGAAAGCATAGGTAGGTCTACTGCCACAAGATTTTTAGCTTCCCACAAAAGGAATATTCATTTACAACACTATCTGACTATTCCACTACTGCTACCTTTAAGAAGAATATATACTAGAGCTAGGTCTGAACAACTCAGTATTATGATGGAAACTGGGCGTTACTGTAACATCCCAAGAAATGAGAGATTCTGCGTATGGGGAGAACAAACTGTGGAAGATATTGAACATTTCTTAATTGATTGTCCAGCATATACTGAACTGCGATACAGATATTTACATCCAATATTATCCAACTGCAGGTCCCCCAACAGAAATTGCATTCCTCTTGCAAGGACAGGAAAGATCCACCATAATCAGAGTAAGCCTTTTTATTCTGAAAGCTATCAAGAAAAGAGCAGATTTCCTGAAAGAAGAACCAGGAAAATAAGATTCTGACTGTAAATAGAAGATCAGCTGCTGTCCTTTCCTTTTCGCCTTGTCTTTTACCCATGTTGTCTTTTGAAATGGTCATATGACTGGTCAAATAAATAAATATTATCACTTGAATGTCTATATGTTTGGATACATTTGCATCACTGCTATTAGTGGATACTGGTCTTTCTGGTTTTTTACTGTTGCCATGTGCGTTGTAGACAGTGGCACTATTAAATCAATATATAGAATAAGTAAACTGCGAATGAAAACCTTTTGTTTTCAGACTAGATTTCTTTATTATTCTAGTAGCCACGGTGCCCTTCCCCATTTTTTGAGCCCTCTTCTAAGAAGAGTAGAAATCACAGCTGGTCACATGAGCTTGTGCATAAACTTTTGGATTAAAGTGGAGGTAGAAGCAAAAACAGGCATTTATCTTTTTGGGAATCAGATACTCATTTATTTATACACATAATAAAATTGAAAAATGTGTATGTGTCGGAGGTGTCCACTTACACAGACAGCCTCTGGCCTCCACAAACAGGTTATAGTTCACCCACATCGCTATGTATTTTTTTCATGAAATTAAAACAACATTTATTGATAGACAAACGGAGCTTCTTTTCTCCTGGTTGCCACAATAAAGTCTTTGTGGGAAAAAGAAATATTTTAAGCTTATGCAGTTCTGTTCTTTGATCTTTTTGTTTCCCAATATGAGTACTGTTATTTTACTATGCTGTATATAACTCTGTCGTGACTTTAATTATGTATTTTCTAATATGAGCATTCATAAAAAATGAAATCTATTCTTTCTAATAATTAACTAAATGATATTACCTAACACCCCAAAACAAACAAGGCCTTTTTCAAATAACTCCACCAGGTATCCAAGCTAGTAGAATAATAGATTTGGAAGAGACCATGTGAACCATCTAGTCCAACTCTCACAAAGCACCCTCAATGGGTGGCCACCCAGGCCGCTCCGACACAGCCATATAATCCAGATCATAAAATCACATAATATACATTATCTACTTTTCACTGGATTATATGAGTCTACACTGCCATATAATCCAGTTCAAAACAAATAATATGAATTGTATATTGCTATGTAGAAGGGACCCCAGCCTCTGTTTAAAAGCCTTCAAGGAAGGAAGTACTCATTAGAGAATCATTGCATTTTTAAAACATTTTTTTAAAAAAACATTCAACACATCCAGACCACAGCCAACATTCTCTTCTCTATAGATTTAGGCCCCTTCTATGTTGCCATATAATCCAGACTAGCCATCCCCTGCCACGCATTGCTGTGCCCCACATGGGGGTTCTGTGTGGGAGGTTTGGCCCAATTCTATCAATGGGGGAATTCATAATACTCTGTGATTGTAGGTGAACTATAAATCCCAGCAACTACAACTCCCAAATGACAAAATCATTTTTTTTTTGAGAAAGGACATACATTGGGTTGTTAGGTGTCTTGTGTCCAAATTTGGTGCCAATTCGTCCAGTGGTTTTTGAGTTCTGTTAATCCCACAAATGAACATTACATTTTTATTTATATAGATTATCAAAACAGATAATCCACATTATCTCCTTTGAACTGGATTATATGAGTCTACACTGCCATATAATCCCGTTCAAAGCAGAATCTGGATCTTATATGGTAGTGTAGAAGAGCCATCACAGGGCAATCCTGTCAGGTCTAGTAAGATGTAAGTGGAGCATTTGATCTTGGGGACTCACTCCCAGGTAAATGGATATGAATTGCACATTTACTCTGCAATTTAGCTCAGACTCTTCAGTTCCAAATTCATTGGGAGAACAAGCTGAGATGGCAATTATTTTTAAAATATCACAAAACATTAATATCCACAGAAAATATATAGTCAGCCCTCCATATCCATGGATTTTTCATCAACGGATTCAACAATCTATGGCTTGAAAATATTTTTTTATAATCCAAGAAGCAAATCTTAATTTTACCATTTTATTCATTTATTTACTGGTATTTATTTACAGTATTTATATTCCGCCCTTCTCACCCACGGGGACTCAGGGCGGATTATAGTGTACATATACATGGCAAACATTCAGTGCCATATGAGGGACACTATTTTATCATATTACTTGTATATAATGGAACTTGAGCATCCATGGATTTTGGTATCTACAGGTGAACCAAACCCCATGGGATACCAAGGAGTCACTATATTGGTCTATGTATATCCAGGATAAGATACACTATCTTTATGGCAATCCTACATGGTAACCAATCCATTGTTATTATGCATCACATTAAGGGAGTCCAATATAACCATAGTGTCACATTGATTGGAAACATGCTTACAGGTTTCTGTTTCACCATGAGTTTAAGTGAACAATTTCATCACACAGGCTTGGAGAACCAGCCAGCAAAGCCGGATTATGGGTTGAGGATTTTGGCAGGTGTAGTCCAAAAGCATCTTGAGGGCCAAAGATGTCACAATCCATTAATTAAAGTGAATTTAACAGACTGTTCTTGTATGGTCAGAACATCAATTTGCTAGGTCAGAACATCCATTGATACTAAAGATCTTTCCAGATATGATGCTGATGGTTCCTGGGTTCTCTAGCAAGTAGAAGTACACAGGTTGGGCAAAGTACCACTCAACTCACCAATAACTGCTACCACTTGGGATAGAAGCAGATGATACTAGGCTAGATGGACAGGAAGAAGTCTAGCCTGGTGTAATGATACTGATTTGGTTGCCAGTATTTGAGTTCTTTATTGTTCTGTATACGAATCAATGATTGTAATGTTTGATCATTGGACTGCAACTCTAAAGACTGGGATCGGATCCTCTGCTTGCCCAAGGAAACCACTTGATGACATTGGGTAAGTCACATACTCTCAGCCCCAGAAAACCCTATTATAGGGTTTCAAGACACACCATTACAAGATACCACTACACCTTTCATGCTACACAATAATAGTACTTTGATACCGTGCATCCAGGACATTCTACTGTCAATCAGCTCCTACCATCAAAAATTCTTCCTAATGTTTAGGCGGCATCTCTCTTTAAATTCATTGTTTATTATCCTAGCCTCTGGAGCAGCAGAAAACATGCACACTTCCTCTTCTAAATTATATTCTTTCAAATGTTTGAAAATTGCTATCATGCCACCTCTCAGTCTTCCCTACTCCAAGTAAACAAACGCAGCTCCCTAAGGCATGTGTCACAGTTTTTGACATTTTAACATTTTAGTCACCCTACTCTGTAACAGAAGATTTGCAGAGCACCTGATGAACCAGCCTGGGTACATCATATTATTTGAGAACACAGAAATGCTGGACCACTCTCACAACCACCATGTCAGACTACACAGAGAAGCCATGGAAATACAGAAGCATGTGGACAACTTCAACAGAAAGGAGGAAACCATGAAAATGAACAAAATCTGGCTACCAGTATTTAAAAAACTCTAAAATTACAACAACACAACAACAGAGAGGAAACAAACAAGGACATCTAATCACCTCTCAACAAAAGTTTGCTCCAGGCACAGTCAGGCCATTATATGCTAATCAAGGTGATCAGTTGAAACATTCACACCTAGCTCCAGCAGACAAGAGTCCTTTGTCCCACCCTGGACAAAAGTTTGAGAACCCCTGGCCTAGAAGATCTTATGCTACCAACTGTTTTATCTCATGACCCTTCCAGACAGGCCCTATATACCAGGATCTGATTCCAAGTTTTCTGATTTAGTTGGTTTAGGCAATCTCTCGTTGCCCGAGTAAGATTGTCCTCCAAGGTCAGTGTACTGGCCGTGGGTCCGTAGGTGACTGTGGAGCCCTATTCATGACATGCATGTTCTCCCACAGTGAGGGCATCGGTTTTCAGGTGGAAGGCGGTCCTGGTCAGGGTTAGTTTGATGCAACTTCTTCTTGGCACCTTTCTCTCTTTTGCCCTCCATTCGTGCCTCTTCAAATTCTCCAGCACTGCTGGTCACAGCTGACCTCCAGCTGGGGCTTCCCAGTTATAATAATAATAATAATAATAATAATAATAATAATAATAATAACAACAACAACACTTTATTTGTACCCTGCTACCATCTCCCCAAGGGACTCGGTGCGGCTTACATGAGGCCGAGCCCAAACACAACAATACAGGCAATAATCACAACAATACAAGCAATAATAACAACAATACAAGCAATTAAAATAGAACATAAATGATAAACATATAACATTTTCAATAAGACAACATACAGTTAAAACTGTGGGAAGGCCAAATGTAAAAATGAAAATTGGAATAGTGCTGAGGCATGGACGAAAAGGTGATAGTGGCGTTTGTGGAAGACATACGAGCAGACCTAAAAGTATAAAGTGCTTTGGAGGGACAAAGTGCTATGGGATCATTATTCCAGGAAGGCACACTGGAACAACCACGTCTTCAAGCTCCTCCTGAAGATTGCCAGAGTTGGGGCCTGCCTGATGTCCTTAGGGAGTGAGTTCCAGTGTCGAGGGGCCACCACCAAAAAGGCCCTCTCTCTCGTCCCCACCAATCGCGCCTGCGATGCTGGTGGGATCGAGAGCAGGGCCTCTCCAGATGAACGAAGAGATCGTGTGGGTTCATATATGGAGATGCGTATACAGGTCACGCAGGTAGGTGGGTCCCAAACCGTTCAGGGCTTTGAAGGTAACCTTGAATTGGGTCCGGTAGATGAATGGCAGCCAGTTCTCAGTGTCTATTCCAGAGATTTTAAGGTTGGCTTAGAGCCCATCTTTAAATCTCTTTTCCTGTCCTCCAACATTTTTCGTTCTTGAGTTTGGAGTAGAGCAACCGCTTTTTTCTGCTTTAAACTGGATTATATGAGTCTGCACTGTCAGATAATCTGGGATAAACAGAAAACCTAGGATCAGATCCTGGGATGCAGGGCCTGTCTGGAAGGGCGCTCAGTTTTTCTCAAAAATGCATATACTGTAGGATATAAAAGTTTATGTCGAGCAGTGTTTCTCAACCTTCCTAATGCCTCGACCCCTTCATACACTTCCTCATGTTGTGGTGACCCCCAACCATAATGTTATTTTCCTTGCTACTTCATAACTGTCATTTTGCTACTGTTATGAATCGTCATGTAAGTATCTGATATGCAGGATGTATTTTCATTCACTGGACTAAATCTGGCACAAATACTCGATAGGCCCAAATTTGAATACTGGTGGGGTTGGAGGGTTAATCAATTTTGTCATTTGGTAGTTGTAGCTGCTGGGATTTGTAGCCCACCTACAATCAGAGAGCATTCTGAACTCCATCAATGATGGAATTGAACCAAACTTGGAACAGAGAACTCCCGTGACCAACAGAAAATACTGGAAGGGTTTGGTGGGCATGGACCTTGAGTTTAGGAGTTGTAGTTCACCTACTTCTAGAAAGCACTGTGGACTCAAACAATGGTGGATCTGGACCAAATTTGGCACAGATACTCAATATGCCCAAATTTGAATACTGGTGGGGTTGGGATTGATTTTGTCATTTGGGAGTTGTAGTTGCTGAGATTTATAGTTAACCTAAAATCAAAGAGCATTCTGAACCCCATCAACAATGGAATTGAACCAAACATGGGACACAGAAAATACTGGAAGGGTTTGGTGAGTATTGACCTTGAGTTTTGGAGTTGTAGTTCATCTACATCTAGAGAGCACTGTGGACTCAAGCAATGATGGATCTGGACCAAACTTGGCACAAATACTCAATATGGTCATATGTGAACACTAGTGGAGTTTGGGGGAAATAGACCTTGACATTTGGGAGTTGTATTTGCTGGGATTTATAGTTCACCTGCAATCAAAGAGCATTCCGAACCCCACCAATGACAGAATTGGGCCAAACTTCCCACACAGGGCCCCATGATCAAAAGAAAATACTGTGTTTTCTGATGGTCTCTGGCGACCCCTCTGATACCCTCTCGTGACCCCCAGGTTGAGAAACACTGGTCTAGAGTAAGAGGAGAAGGCACTCATATGAATGCTCCCTCTTCTCTCCCCTCCCACCCTGTGTTTGAGTGACAGGGACCGCCACCAATGGCGGCACCACTTCCGCCTTCCCTGTAGCTGCCTGTCTGGAGGCTTTTCCCGCCCCAGGGTGCGGAAGGGCTGCTTCCCATTGGGCGGCGGGGAGCCTCTTCCAAGGGCACCGCCCACCTTTTGGCTTCCTCTTCCTCCCCTCTAGTCTTGCTCCTGTTTCCGGTCGTGGCTGAGGCAGCTGTGCAACTGGGAGGCAGTGTGGCCTGGCAGCCAGTGTGGTATGTAATGGGTGTCGCTGTGCTTCCCTGAGGGTTGAGAAAGGCCTCCTTCCTTGACTGTGATTCCTTAATAATAACGCTATGGAAGGAAGTTGGACCTACCAATTTGCCCACCCCACTTTTGGAGTGCATTCATGTCCCACTTTCTATCCCAAGTGTTTTGGTTTCTTACTGTGGTGCCTCCCCATTGGAAGCTGCCCTACTTCCTGTGTCATGCTGGTGTGTCCTATTAATCCTTACTGTCTCCTCCATCCAGAGCTTCATGGTGTGCAACTATTCTGGCCCCACATCCCTCCCTGGGTGTGGGGCTGGCCTGCTTCCCTGTGTCGTCTTTTCCTTGCCCTGTTTTCCAGCTCTGTAGAGTCCAGGCGCCTTGAAGAAGAAAGAAAACCATGGCCGTCCAATGCAAGGAGTGGAGAACATGGAGAGGGCCTGCAGATCCAGAGGCGGGGCCTTGGGGGAAGAGATGTGAATCAACCTGTTCAGCAGCCTCTGCAATTCCTCTGTGGTTCTCAAAAACCACAGACTCCATTAACTGCCCTGTGGGCCAGTCACACCACACAGCTATAGCACTATGATTCTATTTTAGCTGCCATGGTTACACCCCATGGAGCTCTGGAGCGAAGAGCTAATTTCTATATGCGTTTGAGTGCAGGTATTCAGTGCTTGTTACGTTTGTCTTCATCACCATGTGCTTGATTTATTACACTGATATCTCAGCTTTTATCAGAGGAACTTGAAGAGGAGCGTAAACAGTTCTTCCTTTCTCCACATTTTACCCCCCTCCCCCATTTTTCTCTCTTTGAGAGATAGTTTAGGTCCTTCCACACCAGGGGTCCTCAAACTTTTTAACAGAGGGCCAGGTCATAGCTCCTCAAACTGTTGGAGGGACAGATTATAATTTGATAAATTTGAAAAATATCTTATTTGTAGTGCAAAAAAACACTTTAAAACAATACAATAATTAGGTTCTTGTAGGTTTTTTCGGGCTATAGGGCCTTGTTCTAGAGGCATTTCTCCTGACGTTTCGCCTGCATCTATGGCAAGCATCCTCAGAGGTAGTGAGGTCTGTTGGAAATAGGAAAATGGGTTTATATATCTGTGGAATGACTGGGGTGGGGCAAAGAGCTCTCTGCTGAAGCTAGGTGTGAATGTTTCAGCTGACCACCTTCATTAGCAATTGAAGTCCACAAGCATGTGGACAATTTCAACAGAAAGGAGGAGACCATGAAAATGAACAAAATCTGGCTACCAGTATTAAAAAACTCTAAAATTACAACAGCAAAACAGCAGAGAGGAAACAACCAGGCACATCTTAACACCTCTCAACAGAACATTTTCCCAGGCTCAGCCAGGCCTTCAAATGCTAATGAAGGTGGTCAGCTGAAACATTCACACCTAGCTTAGGTTGACCCTGAGCGAGGGCTAGGTAAATGACCTTGGAGGGCCATATCCGGCCCCCAGCCCTTAGTTTGAGGACCCCTGTTCCACACAGCCATATCACTCGGGACCCTTCCACACAGCCCTGCATCCCAGAATATTAAGGCAGAAATCTCCTTTGAACTGGGATATCTGAGTCCACACTCAGATAATGTGGCATTTCTTGCCATTTTTTTGTCATGTCAGGAGCAACTTGAGAAACTGCAAGTCACTTCTGGTGTGAGAGAATTGGCTATCTGCAAGGATGTTGCCCAGGGGACGCCTGGATGATTTGATGTTTTTATCATCCTTGTGGGAGGCTTCTCTCATGTCCCCGCATGAAGAGCTGGAATCGATAGAGGGAGCTCATCTGCCTCTCCCCGGATTCAAACCTGCGACCTGTGGGTCTTCAGTCCTGCCGGCACAGGGGTTTAATCCACTGCACCTCCGGGTGCTCCATTTCTTGCCATGATATTGTGGGATATAGGGCTGTGTGGAAGGGCCCCCCAAAATCAAGGCACATAATCCACAATATCTGCTTTGAACTGAGGTTAGATGGGCCATTTCAAATCAACTAAAAATCTAGTGTGTTTCAAAAATATGTACCTGATTTGAACTTGCTATGTATATCTGCAACTATGAACTGCCTTGTAAGGGTGGGGCACACAAAAAGCCCCTAGACTCAGTCATTCACAAGATGGCAGGCCTGCAACGTAAGGCCTAATTAGATATTCTCAAGTTACAGCGTTATTTTTTTACATGTGTTTGTGGCTCAAAATAGTGAAATCTGATAAGTCATTAAACCATTTGTAACTTTTTGTGTCGTTGTAACATGTTGCCATTGTGAAATATATTGCTTTGAAATTGGGTCTGTCGTTTTGAAACACCATGTATTTCGCTTTTGGTCAACCTTGCTAGGATTGATAAGAATTGGAGTTCAACCACATATTCCCAAACCTTACTCTAACTATTGTGTCACATGGTCTATACATGTTTCCTCATAACTTTTTCAGATTTGATTATTCATGGACTTGATAAAAAATGTGGACCCTAGGAATCTCCAGGCCTTCCAGTGTGACTATGGCCAACTTCCTATCTGGTGGTCCTCAAAATTTCTAAAGAGAGCACCTTTTCCAAAGGTCCTTCAGTGCAATTCTGTGGTCAACTTCCAGTGGAAGCTGGCCATAGAGTCATGCTGGAAAGTCTAGGAATTTCTGTGTGTGGTTTTCCACTTTCACATGGGCTCTGTACTCCTCACCCTAGTATATGTGGTGAACTGACAGTAGTTGTGTTCCAGGTGGGACACACCCACATTGGCTTTAACAACTCTTCCATGAGATTGTTAGTTTAGATTCGCAATGACTTTGTGATGTTTTTTTGTGAAGTTTGTTAGAAAGTAGGGTGTGGAAGTGAATCATAGAAAGATAAAGATGCCGCTCTTTTTTTTGCAAATCTTTTATCAGGCCTCAGAATGCTTTTGTTTTCAGTGAAATATTTGAATAGTGCAACAAGAGGTTGCAGAGCTTTTGCATCATCTCCATTCTCCTCTGAGCTCATGTAAATAATTGAGCAGCCTCCATTCAACAAAGTCTGCAGCTTGTGAAAAAGAAGGCTTCTTATGTTTATTTAAGTATATTTCTGTGCCTGTCAAGACAAGACAACTTCCCCAGACAGTTAATAAAGAAAATAATAAAAAGTATACAATATATTTAAGGTGGCAGCAACAACAGCATAACAGTGTTTAATTCAGTATACACATGACCGTAAAGTAAAGAAATATGATTTGTTTAGAGCATGGCTTTACTTTTTGCTGATGCTTCCCAGATTTTTATATATGTAGAGCGAATGTTATGTTGCAATTTTTGCATTGAACCAGGTCTTTGGAGACCAATATTTGAAACCCATGAAACTCTCTGGGTGACCTTGAGTGACTCACACTCTGTCAGCCTCACAGGAAGGCAATGGCAGACCTCTGAACCAATCTTGCAACAACAACAAAAGCCCTGTGGTTGGTTTTTAGGGTCAACATGGGTTGGAAACTATTTAAAGCAGTGGTTCTCAACCTGGGGTCCCCAGATGTTTTTGGCCTACAACTCCCAGAAATCCCAGCCAATTTACCAGCTGTTAGGATTTCTGGGAGTTGAAGGCCAAAAACATCTGGAGACCCCAGGTTGAGAACCATTGATTTAAAGGCACATGACAAGAAGTACCAATTTAAGTCACCTACTAAAGTCTGATTTGTAGACTTCACTGAGGGGTGGATGGCTGTGGGGAAATGGTGGAAAATATCAATGTGAAGAATGACTCTTGATGTATCCACAGGTCTTATCAAAATCCATACATTTAGCCCCTTCCTTGTGAGTTCCATTTATACATGAGTATATATGGTAACATTTTCCTACCCTTCCCCGCTTTAAGTTGTCTGGAGTCTGAATATTCTCAGCATTTTAGGTTTTAATGAACACATCACAGCCAATATACATCAAAACATTTCAGCTGTTGCCAGGACTCCAACCCATGTAATGCTGTGTTCCTAATGTAAATGTGCTTGCCAATTTCAAAGAAATCAGAATGGCAGTAACAATGAGAGTCTAGTTTACTCTTTAATCATCTGCCTTAATCCCTTGAAAGTTTTGATTTCCCTGCTTGATTTTTGGTTTTACTTGCACTCTAATATTATTGTTAAATGAATTTATTGGCTGATTTGTATGATATTTTTAAGATGTTTTTAGTGTTTTACTGTTTTAATTGTATCTTTATGATGTATACATTGCAAGCATCGTTGATGCCTATGTGAGGCCACCCTGAGTCCCCCTTGTGGGGAGAAGGACGGGATAGAAGAATAGGAAATAAATAATAAAATCCTGTGGCTCTCCAAGGGTGCTTATAAAGTGAGGCGTGGTGACTGCTTAATGGCACATATGGATATAGCTTGTGATTTAAAATGTTCACCTGCCTCTGGAAAAACATTTTTTTTGTCTCAAAAGATCCAGTTGCAATCCTGATTAGCCGTTTGGATTTTCAAGGGTTGTCATCAAAATCTTAAGCACCTTTGAAAGAGGCTTCTGTAGTACACCATGTGTTACCAGTATTAAAAAACTCTAAAATTACAACAGCAAAACAGCAGAGAGGAAACAACCAGGCACATCTTAACACCTCTCAACAAAAAATTCCCCCAGGCTCAGCCAGGCCTTCAAATGCTAATGAAGGTGGTCAGTTGAAACATTCACACCCAGCTCTAGCAGAGAATAGCTCTTTGCCCCACCCCAGTCATTCCACAGATATATAAACCCATTGTCCTATTTCCAGCAGACCTCACTACCTCTGAGGATGCTTGCCATAGATGCAGGCGAAACGTCAGGAGAAAATGCCTCTAGAACATGGCCATATAGCCCGAAAAAACCCACAAGAACCTAGTGATTCCAGCCATGAAAGCCTTCGACAATACATTTTCTTCTTCGTTCTTTATGAGGGAAGAACTTTGCATGTCTGTTTGCTGTTCTACTAATGTTTCTGGTTCTTCTGAAAGTGCACAGGAGCTGTTCAAATCAAAGGGTTTGAGTCCATCATCTGTTTGCCAATTGTAGGTGACATGCAAACTTTGATGTTAGGCACAAGCTTATGAGATCTATTCCAGCCAATGGGAGGAAGAGGAAGGTGTTGCTCCTAGAGCAAAGATGGAGAACATGTGGTCACCCAAATTTTGTTGGACTGCAACCCTCACAATCTCTCACCATAGGGAAGGGAGTGATTGGGATTGTTGGTCAGCAACATATGGAGGCACATGTAGTCCTTCTTTGTATTCTCTGACCAGCAACACAAACCTCATTTGAAAGGCTTACTTGAAAACCTTTGATATCATGATCCAAGGCAAACGTGATGATGAGTAGCCCAGGTAGGCTTTCAAAAAAGGTGAATAAAAGACACATCCATATTTGTACGCTCTCTTGCACTTACTGAAAACCATGTTGCATCTGATCCCTTCAGTGGCTGTTGCAAAGGTCTTGGATGCTGGACTTTGCATTTCAGATCTTGTATTCAAATCTTATCGTTGTTATTTTCTTATCTTTCCAGCAAAGAATTGCTCCCAGCATCAAACACCCTTTAGGAGCTGAATCCCTTCTAAAGCTCTCAACATGAGTCTCCAGTGGGCGACAGTGGCCACGTTTCTGTATGCAGAAGTCCTCCTTGTCTTTCTCCTATGCATACCTTTCATTTCTGCAACAAGGTGAGAAGCTGCAGTTTGGGCACAGGACATGTTGTGTGTCATATGTGTGCATTAATTCACATGGATAGGTTTGGGAACGTTGGTGGGTCGTGTATTCAAAAAGCCTCAGAGCCAGCCCCCCCCCCCCCAGTTGGTTGTGCTCCAGATATTTTTGAGTAGAACCCCCATCATCCGTAGTTGTCATGGCTAAAAATGGGGAGATGGGAGTGTGAGGTTGCTGTAGACTTATGACATCGCTTAGCTTGGATTTCCAGGATCCAACATTGGGATGACTGAGAGTCAGCAGCTTAAGAGGATTAATTGCAGTATTACTGATAAGAAAATATATTTCAATGTTTTAGTTGCTGCTGGGAGTAAATGAGAGGGTGGAATGATTGGCATGTTTATTTGTGGGTGATAGGGAACTAGGTGAAGAGTTTCTTAGGCTTCCTTTTTAGCATGAAGAGATGATTTTTTTTGTTAGCAAACTTCTAGTACATGACAAAGATTGCAGCAGGACTCTCATTACTACTATCTGTGCAAGACCTAGTCTGTGGATACTGAATATCATTTCCAGGGCATTATAAGAGGACTGATACTTTTCTAGAAAAAGCTAGATTTACACCAGCCTCTTCAAACTTTGTAATTTAGTGAATAAGATCTGTTGCTCTTGACTGACAAAGATTCATTCTTGACTTAATTGCAGAATAGAAGTCCACTGTGAACTACAATATTTTGTTCTGTAGCATCACAACTTTGAATGAATCCATTTGTTCTTAGCTACCTAATTGCAGAGATTAAGTGGAATCTAAATGTATAACAATACAAGGTGGGCCAAAAGTCACAAAGGCATATGATGTTTTAAGAACATTTTGATTTTTTTTGGAAACGATTTTACGTGTCATGTAATTTTATTTCACGCACATATATGTATGTGTATGCTATATACTCTATATCAGGTATGGGCAAACTTGGGCCCTCCAGGTGTTTTGGAAATCAACTCCTACAATTCCTAACAGCCTACAAGCAGTTAGGAATTGTGGGAGTTGAAATCCAAAACACTTGGAGGGTCCAAGTTTGCCCATGCCTTCTCCAGATGATATGGCCACCCTGAGTCCTCTTTGGGCTGAGAAGGGCTGGGTACAAGTGTAGTAGATAAATACATATGATATGGTATTGTAAATTTAAAAACAAAATGGAGTTATTAAATATTGAATTTTGTGACTTTAGGCCCACCCTATACTTACTTCCCTCTGCATCATTCTGTTACCTTCTTGCATAATTTTAGTTTCGGTTCTCAGAAAGACCAAGGAGCTATTCAGAACATGTTGTTGCTGTTTTTTAATGTATTAATATGCAAAGCAACTGGGAAAACCACTTGAATATTCATGGGGTTGCCATTAGTCGACAGGCAATTTGCCATCACATGCACAATATTCTATTATATTACTCTATATAATAATACTATAATCATTATTAATTTTGTCTCCTGCCATCACCCAGTATATCCACAGTTTAATTCCTAGCTATCAGAAATCATCTTCTGCTTAGATGGCTTTTGAGACTTGGCAACCACTTACAAACATATTTTCACAGCCATGAGGAAGCTGAATTCTGTTTCCAAACTCACTGTGTGTGTGTGTGCACCAAACTTTTTATAGCTTCCTTTCTGCTGCTGCTGTTAACCTATCATCCAGGATCCCTTGGGAGAAAGACACATGGAGTACTTGTTTGGCAACTGCTTCCTTGCACTGTGCTCTTTCCAGGGTGTTATGTTTACCTTCAGCCCTAAAATTCCTTCCACCTTGAAGTAGCTCCCTGATCTCACTTGTTGGAGGTGTATGTGTGAATGGTCCATATCAGGGTAGACAACTTGTTCTCCACATAGTTTGGACTACAGCTTCCATCGCCACAGACCATTGGTCATTTTGGCTAGTGCTGGTGAGGCATGTAGTCCCAAGGCACCAGTTTGTCAACCATTACTGTTGGACAGTAACCGTGTAGGGAGAAAGGTGAGATCATTAAACAAGCTGGCTAGGGCTTCTAGGAGTTGGAGGCAAAACAGCTGGAGAGCTGGAGTTTGAGGATAACTGATCTAAACAGTAGTGGGCATGGTAGGCAGTGACCAATAACTTGCCTCCTCCCTAGCAAGCAAAAATTGTTTTTCTCTGTAGTCTGTCAAAATGGCAACTGGAAGTGATGTTGTTTCGCTACTTTGAGAAGAACTACTGAGAAAAATAGAGGAATTTGGAATGCTTGTTATTATGCATAGTTTTGAAGCACAAATTGCCCTATAATATATTGTATAAAAAAGAAATTGGATGGATTCTCTGACTGGTGCAGAATTTTAGAGGCAGCAGATGTGTTTTCTAGGGCCTGCCTGTAGGCAACCCAACCTGAATCTAAAATTTCATGAATACCTGAATCTGGTACAAAGAGGAAACTGCCTATCTGAGAGAAAAACCTTTGTCCTTGTCTCCAGTGGAACAGCTACTGTTTATCTTAAATCTCAACCTTCTTCCATAGATGGCAGAAGATCTTCAAGTCTCGTTTGGTGCAGCTTGTGGTGGCATATGGAAACACCTTCTTCATTGTGCTTATTGTCATCCTTATCCTGCTATTCCTTGGTGAGTAGAAGATGGGGGGCTTTTATCAGCAGTCCCTCGTGGGATGTAAACTTTTGCCTTCACTCTTTTTTTGCTGGATTCTGCTCAGAATGTAGGCATTCTGCTCCCTTGCTGCTGGCTCTTGGGGATGTCAACAAATCAGAGTTGTAACCAGGAGTGATGAGGGCCAGGGGAATGCATTTCTCCTCCTGGTCTCAGTGAGTGTCTTTCTGAATCAAGAGAACTATTTTGAATTGCCTCAACTGCAAACCTAAGGCTGACTTGTCCAGAATGTTCAATCTGGCTATGAAAGATTGTTTTTCAGATTTGACCTATTTGGACCAATCTCTGTGTTTGGCCCAAACCCCTTCTCTTTAAATTTCCACCCAACATGGACTTGCCCATTTTGTGTTCTTAAAATAGAAGAATAACCAAAAATAGGATGGGGAGATATCAAAATGGAACATGAAGCGATATATCATAGGTCAGTGGTTCTCAACCTGTGGGTCCCCAGGTGTTTTGGCCTACAACTCCAGAAATCCCAGCCAGTTTACCAGCTGTTAGGATTTTTGGGAATTCAAAGCCAAAACATCTGGGACCTCGTGGGTCGAGAACCACTGACATGGATCTTTGTTGTAAAGGGTCTTCCCTGGGGCTTATCTCTGCACACTGCACTATGACCCATCATTGTGTATGCCTCAATGGGAACTAGAGACCACATAGCTCAACCTTATATCAAGAGCTGAACCAAGAGGCCAAATATCACATTTGTAACCTGTGGTCATATGATTGCATGCCATGTGTTAGTGTCTGAGTCAGCAGACCCCAGGAAGGCAGAAATGTTGTGAAAGAAGGTGGCTGTGTTGATTCCCCTTTGCTCTTTCAGAGACTAGTTTATAATTATGGTAGGTGACCTCTGACACCCCCTGTTATGTGTGCTTTCCTTGCCATGAATTGAATCTTCATCTTTGTGAGATGGGATCATCTTGGCTGTAGTACCAAACTCTGTTTGGGCTGATAGCTTATAAACATTGGTGCTTTCTATTGCAAATATTTACAGAGGGATAGCTGTATCACTATGTTGAAGTAAAAACTTTAGAGCCATATAACACCTTAAAGACTCACACATTTATTATTACCTAAGCTTTTATAATATGAACTATTTCATGAACTTATTCCATCAGTTGTGTGAAGTTTTATCTAGAACAGACCTGCACAACCAGTGGCACTCCAGGTGTTTGAGCTTCAAACTCTCAGAAACTCTAGCCAGCTGTTCCAATGACCAGGAGTTCTGGGAGCTAAAGTCCAAACCCCCGGAGGGCCATAGGTTGTGCAGGCCTGATCTAGAACAGCTTAACCTAGTGTCAAGAAGTTTTTAAGAGCAGGCATTCTGTGATTGTCCAGTGTTAAGTAATTATCAGTGTCACTATTTCCTGCAATAGATTTGCCTCAAATCTTGCTGCAGTATTTATTGTTATTTATTTACTTCATTTATACCCCACCTTTTTCCCCCTCAGGGGACTCAAGGCTGTTTACAACTCCAGTACAATTCAATACCGTAAAATCAACAGTAAAAACAATAACATACCCCCTCCATTAAAACAATTAATAATTAGTCAATAAACACATTACAAGAGTAAACAGATTAAAACATATGAAGTAAATTGTTCCATTTGTCCAAGATCTTTGTTCATAATCCATATTCAAACAATGTCGTAGCCCGTAGTCACTTATTCTTCGAATGCTTGTGTGCAAAGCCATGTCTTTAACTTTTTTCTAAACAACAAAACTTTATTTATATACCGCTCTGTCTCCCCGAAGGGACTAAGAGCGGTTTCCAGCACATAATACATACAAGAAAAACAGCATAAACATAAAATTAACAAGACAATATAAGCATTAAAAAACCCAATAGCACATGCATATTTAAAATAATCCTGCCTGTTCAAGGCAATTTAAAAGGCCGGGCCAGGGCTAGTGCAATTTTAGAGGGCCCGGGAAATTAGTTAGAGTCTATGGCTATACATTTCCAGGACCTAATAGAAGAAAGTAACCTGGGTAACTAGTTGAAAAAGATATGGCCAATTTTAACAGTATCTGGGGCTAAGCTAAAACTCGTCGTTCTCAAAGGTTTGTTTAAACCACCAGGTCTTCAGGCTCTTTCGAAAGGAGGGGAGGGATGGGGCCTGTCTTATTTCTCCAGGAAGGGCGTTCCAGAGGCGGGGGGCCACCACCGAGAAGGCCCTCTCTCTCATCCCCACCAACCATGCTTGTGACGGTGGTGGGAGCGAAAGGAGGGCCTCCCCGGAAGATCTTAAAGTCTGTGCCGGTTCATAGAGGGAGATTCGATCGCAACGATAGGCGAGGCCCAAACAGTTTAGGGCTTTAAAACTAAAAAGGATGGGGCCTGCCTGATGTCACTGGGGAGAAAGTTCCACAGATGAGGAACCACCACTGAGAAGGCTCTGTCTCTCGTCCCCATCAGTTGCGCTTGTGAAGAGGGTGGGACTGAGAGCAGAGTCTCCCCAGATGATCTTAAAGTTCTAGTAGGCTCATATGAGGAGATAAGTTGGACCGGAACTGCTTAGGGCTTTATAGGCCACGTCCAGCACTTTAAATTGGGCTTTGTAGCAAATTTGCAGCCAGTGGAGCTGATGCAACAGGGGAGTTTTGTGCCCCCTGTACGCCGCGCTCATTAGAAATCTGACTGCCGCCCATTGGAACTAATCGAAGCTTCCGGGCTGTCTTCAAAGGCAACCCCACGTAGAGAGTGTTGCAGGAGTCAACATATACTTAAGATTCAGAGTACACACATATGTGACAAAGTGGGCTATAAAAAGTCTACCTACAAAAGCTTGTGCTATAATAACATTATTCTTTATGGCAGCAAAGGCTCTATTGTAGAGTCTGTGCATCTCTTTTTGATGATGTGTTGCTGCTGATCCTGTTTTATAATGCCATATTAGTTACTGGAATATATATGCTTTACTTGTCTTGGAGATAGAAGAATAACGCATGCATTATAAATAAAAGGATCTGAGTCTTTAGTTTTCATTTGAGAATGGCACTGGGAACATGATGCAGTCACAGGGGCACGTGTCCCACTGAAGTTTGTATTGGGAACATGTGTTGGATTGCACCTTCCACCAGCCCTCTCCATTATCTATTTAGGCTAGACCTTATGTGAATTGTGTCTGTCAACATCTGAAGGGCCAAACATTCCCCCTTCTCTCATCTAAAGAGCTTCCCCATTCTGACTCTCAACAGCAGGGCTTCTTGGCATTGAAAGTTTTGGTTGCATCATGTGAGTAGTGAGAGCCATTTTTTTCCTTTAGTATTTGCTTTCCAGCTGGTTTCTCTAGTTCTGGCCCATTTAGCAAGAGATCCTGAACTATGGGTAGCATTTCCATAAACTTCTGTTTAGAGGGAGGTAGAGCTAGGCTGAACATGGGTTTATACTGGCCTCTGGAGGCTGTGGAGAGTCAAGGTGGGCACTTCAAAGCTCTTGAGGAATTTCTGTAGTCTCCAAGGATGGTAGTGAAATACCCATGAGAAGTGCATTTTTCTGTGCAGACTGTGACACAAACACCATGAGTGGCCATACTTTTTGACAAGACTTTCTCTTATGAGTTGTATGAGGAAAATTATTCTCATTAAATTTCAACTACAATCTTCCATTGTTATTTTTCTGAAATAGCAGACATTCACCTGAGGAAATTTACATTGGGGTGGGCAAGCATGTGCCTGTCTGTTTCATCTGAACTTACTATCAAAACAGAAAATGATGGATGATAGCTAACTCTTTTGAAATGAACAATTTCTACTGGAAGTTACCCTACCATATCACTGGAGGACCTAGAAAATTTGTAGAGTGGCATTTACTGTGTTCTCCATCAAAACTTTAAGATAACTTCTGATAGGAGCACACCATAGAATCAACCGGCAGACATAAACAATACCTAGAGAGGATATATTTTATCAAATGCATGTAGATGAACCACTTGAACCAATACCATGGATTCTTGGGCTTGAATCTGGGTCACCTGAAACTCCAAAGGTGCCTTTAGTTGGGCCTGCAAAGAAACTAGTAGCATGCAAAGCTCTTGTAAGAGATATAATGTCCCACCAAAAGGGATTTTCAGTACCTTCAAGCAATTCAGCTCTGACTTCCACAGACCACTGAGATCCCCCACAAATTACAGACCTGGACCAAACTTGAAACACAGAACTTCCATGACCAACAGAAAATACTGGAGGAGTTTGGGAGGAATTGACAGTGATTTATGGGAGATATAGTTCACTTACATCCAGAAAGCACTGTGAACCCAAATGACTATGAATCTGGACCAAACTTGCCATGAATACTCAATATGCCCAAATTTGAACAATTTAGGGGAAATGGATCTTGACATTTGGGAGTTGCAGTTGCTGGAATTTATATTCCTCTGCCATCAGAGAACATTCTGAACTCCAACAAAAATGTAATTGAAGAATCTTGGTGTACAGAACTCCCATAACAAACAGAAATTACTGGAGAGTTTTGGGGTTATTTTCCTGACATTTGGGAGTTGCTGGGATATATAGTTCCCTCCCATCCAAAAGCATTCTGAACTCATGCAGCCATGGAATGGACTCAAACTTGGCACAGAGAACTCCCATGATCAACAGGAAATACTGGAGAGGCATTGAGAACAGCAGGAATATGTTTACTCACCTTGCAGGCCTGAACAGAGGGGAGCCTTCTTCCCCGTGCCTTTGCCTCCAAAGCTCCTCCTCCTGACTACCCACAGGTCTGTGGGAAGAGCAGGAGGAGAAGCCTGCCAGGAGTGCCATTTGGCTGGCTCTGGGGGTCGGCAGCCATTTTGGAGGGGACAGGGCCGGCCTAGGCAGCTACGCGACCCCCCGAAAATGGCCAAACAACCCCCCAGGGGTCGTGACCCCCCGGTTGAGAACTGCTGTCCTACGGGGTGGTCGTTAACCTTCCTTGTGTCCGTACCTTCAATTCACCTGTTGGCTGATAGTGGTCCCATTATGTTCATAGGGCTTTCTTAGGCAAGGAATACCCAGATGTGTTTTCCCCAGTTCTTTCCTCTGTAATATAGCCTATAGGTGCCTGAGTTTCCCTTATAAACAATACACAATGTTGCAAAAATCCTTATAGTCTTCTTTCTCTTTCTTGCACAGCAGGCATGGTCAATGAATAGCATCAAGGCATTCTTGGCTTATAGTTCTCATCAGCCCTAGCCAGCATAGTCAATGATGGAGTTGCAGTGCAAAAACAGAAAAGCCACAGTTGCCTACTTTCATTTTATGGTCAGTCTTTTCGGTAAATAGAGAGACTCTCTTATGCTAGCTTCAGAGCCTGCTGTCGTGGAAACTACAAGGAGCACCAGTGTTTGTGATAAATGGGAATTACCTCTAGGCAATCTGGTAGGAAGGCTTCATTAGCTAGTAGCTTAGCCATGTTTGCATGACAGGTCAGTAGCTCCATTTCCACATTCTTGTGGGCTAGTGAATTTTAATGACTTGTTTGCAAGACTGCTTATTGAACACTTTAAAGGTAGGAGTAGCCTTTATTATGCCTGGAGAGCATACATTAGGTTCCTTGCTACTGTGATGTGCCTTAGAGAAGTGGCAAGGAGAGGACATCCTTCCCTTTTGTCTTGAATGAAGGCATCTAAAGGCAAAACCTTGGCACGTCATATGGAGAGCCATTGTCTTGAAAGAGGTTCATAAGTACAGGTTGAGCATTCCTTATCCAGAAACCTGAAATACTCCAAAATGGCTCACATGGTTGGCTTAGATCAGGGTTCCTCAAACATTTAAACAGAGGGCCAGCTCACAGTGCCTCAAACTGTTGGAGGGCTGGATTATAATTTGGAAAAAATATGAATGAATTCCTATGCACACTGCACATATCTTATTTGTTGTGCAAATACACTTAAAAACAATACAATAATTAAAATGAAGAACAATTTTAACAAATATAAACTTATTAGTATTACTTATTACTTTGACGACCTGGCTTTTTGTAATTGTATGATCTGTATTTTAATGTATTTAATGTATTAATGTATTACAATGCTATTATGTTTATCCTACTTGTGTATGAATTTCCTGTTGTTAGCCGGCCTGAGTCCCTCTTCAGAGGAGGAGAAGACTGGGTTATAAAAGCTCTAAATAAATAAAATAAATGGGAAGTGTGGACCTGCTTTTGGCTGATGAGATAGGATTGTTGTTGTTGTGTTCTTTCAAATCATTTCAAACTTGAGTGAGGGCCGAGTAAATGACCTTGGAGGGCCGTATCCAGCCCTTGGGCCTTAGTTTAAGGACCCCTGGCTTAGATAGTAACATTTTTGCTTTCTAATGGTTCAGTGGATGCAAACTTTTGTTTCATGTACAACATTATTTCAAATAATGTATATAAAATTAACTTCAAGCTGTGTGAAGATGTAAACGAATGTTGAACTTAGATTTGGGTTCCATCTCCAAGGTAGCTCATTATGTGTGCATATGCAAATACAAGTGTTCTAAACTCTAAAATCCAATACACTTCAGATCCCAAGCATATTGATAAGGGATATTCAATTAGTATTGCTTAACTTATCTTATAACCTGCATGGCATTTGATCATATTGTGTATATACCATATTTAAATGATTACAACAGTGGAAGGAACCCCCGGTGGCGCAGTGGGTTAAACCACTGAGCTGCTGAACTTGCTCACCGAAAGGTCAGCAGTTCGAATCAGGGGAGCAGGGGGAGCTTCCGCTGTCAGCCCTAGCTTCTGCCAACCTAGCAGTTCGAAAACATGCAAATGTGAGTAGATCAATAGGTACCGCTCCGGCGGGAAGGTAACAGCGCTCCATGCAGTCATGCTGGCCTCATGACCTTGGAGGTGTCTACGGACAACGCTGGCTCTTCGGCTTAGAAATGGAGATGAGCACCACACCCCAGAGTCAGACATGACTGTACTTAATGTCAGGGGACAACCTTTACCTTACAACAGTGGAATGGTTTAATCAATTTAAAGCATATTTCACTATTCTTGAGTTCTTTGCCAACAACACCCAGTAAAAAATATTCAATGGAAGAGTGATGACTGGAATAACTAGATCTTGAAAATGTTGCTTTTTGGGATTAGATTGACAGAGTTATAGTCCAAAAAAGTAACACCTCCTTGCTTTTTCCGTGGTGGTTGCTGATTTGTCATGGATAATGAATGTAGGATCCTTTATTAGTAGCCAAGGATGTTGCTGGAAGTGAAGTTTCCCTATACATATGATTAGGAGTATCGGCCACACCTAATCGGGGCCTCAATTAATTTTACTTGTTGCTGCTATAACTTGGCCTAAATCCAGTTGGTAGTCCAAGCAAGGTAGGCCTATTGAGTCAATAGTGTTTCCATCCATAATGATTTACCAAATTCGTATTGACTCAATGGTTCTTCTCTAATTATTGGATTGAGGGGTGGCATAGGAACTGTGCAACCTTTCTGTGATAAGGTTAGGCGGAGAGTCTTGGCGCTTCCAGGTAGGCCTGTGATTGTTGTCGTGTGCTTCAAGCCATTTCTAACCTATAGCAACCTGGGGCTTTCTTTGCAGAATTTGTTTAGAGGGGGATGCCATTGCCTTCCTCTGAGGCCGAGATAGTGTGTCTTGGTCAAGGTCAGCCAGTGAGTTCCCATAGCCAAAAGGGCTTTGATCCCTAGCTTCCTAATCCAGTGCTCAAACCACTGTGTCACATTGGCACCTTAATGATGGGCACTGGTTTAAATACTGTTATACTTCATTGGTAGCTAAACTTTAAAGTGGTTGCACTTTATAGAAGACTATGTCAGGGTTTCATGAGTGGTATAGCGTCTGTGCAACAGGGAATGTGAGGCATCGCTACCTGTTGTGTAATGATGCATTCTAAGCCTGGCTTAATATAACCCATTATAGGTGTACTAGTAGAAATTTAAGTTACATCATTTTGTATTCCTAGCCAATGGGGAATAAGATTGGGAGATGTCACCCAGCAGCATAATAATAGTAATAATAATAACAATCATAATAATAACAACTTTATTCTTCTATCCCACCATTATCTCCTAAGTGACTTGGGCCAGCTTTCATATGACACAAAGTGCCTAAAAACAGAACATAAAATAAATACAGTATAAAATACAATGAATAAAACACATATACATATAAAAACCAAACAAAACTCAATAAAACTGTGCTCATCACAAAAGCTGCATGTTTCCCATTCCTGATTAGACCGTTCCTTTCATATACCGTATATTCTGGCATATAAGACTACTTTTAAACCCAAGAAAATCTTCTCAAAAGTCAGGGGTCGTCTTATACGCGGGAGTTGTCTTATACGTGGGACTAGTCTTATAAGCTGGAGTAGCCTTATGCATGGGAGTCATCTTATATGCAGAAGTAGTCTTATACGCCGGGAGTCGTCTTATAGAGCGGATGCTGAAACATCCAATCCAGATTGGAGAATCTGTGGTTGCTGCATATGGTGGGAGGAGCTCAAAAATGGCAGTGGCCACGTCCCTGCTGTATGTAGCAACTGTATGAAAGCATTAAGGGTGATGCTGTACAAGTATGGTAGAAGAAAATCCATTGATCAGGATTCGTGGAGTTAATGCGGTCCCGATGGTGAGGTGAAGGGGCGCCTCACCGGGAAGGTGCAAGTGCAGGGCAGAGCAAGCTGCAGGCGTCCGGGGTGCCCGAGAAAGAGTGGCTCTGGGCCCAGAAAAGCACAACTCTTTTACCTGTCTGGCCTGCCTTGTATCCTATTACCGTACCTCCTCCTCTTCCTCTCAGATCTCGCTCCTGAAGACTGAGGTGAAGTGGTGCAGGTGCACATGTGTGAGATCTGAAAGGCAGAGAAGGAGGCACAGGAATAGGAAAATTACCATATTGAAATCAAATCTGATGCTTTAAATTTTTTTATTTGGTGTGCATTGGAAGAGGGGTGGTCTTATACGGTGAGTATATCCCAAACTCTATATTTTAACTGGAAAACTTGGGGGTTGTCTTATACGTCCAGTCGTCTTATATGCCGCAATATACAGTATCAGAAATTTATAAATTAGAAGTTAAAAACTATTTTCCAGAACAGTGCTTGACCTCGGGCTAAATCTTGGCAAAGAGGTGCAGCTTGGTTTCAAGTGAGGCTTTGCAAACAACTCTCATATCCATAGAGGTCTCTAACATTGTTTTCACTCTCTTACAGATGCCATTCGTGAGATTCGGAAATATGATGACGTGACGGAGAAAGTAAACCTTCAGAACAACCCTGGTGCTGTTGAGCACTTTCACATGAAGCTCTTCAGAGCCCAACGAAATCTCTACATTGCTGGCTTTTCCTTATTGATGGCCTTGTAAGTATCTGTTGGAGAAGGAACATCCTGTTGACATTTGATGCCCAGCAGGGTAGGAGTTAAAATATAGATTGATGAGTTGCTGTAAAGGTACCCCGAAGCCAGCACTTCTAAGAAAAGTAGCGACACCAGATACAACCAGTTTGCATTATCATAAAAGAAAAAGCAAAACTGTTGTCAGGAAGACCAAAAATTAACCTTTTCACACCTATGGTGTCTTTCATATGTGTTAGGAGAGGCTCCCAGCATGTCTGGTGTGTAGAAATGTACTTCACATGAGTGTCACAAACATACACAATAAACCAGTAAATTGTTTATCTTCTTACATCAAGTGGTAACCATGCCAGGTAAGTCCATTTCAGTTCTAAATTGTGACAACAAAATGCAAAAAAGTCAAAATTTTGTATGAAGTTTCCCAGGGAGCATCCTTGACCTTCCGTTGTAAGAGACCCCTATACCCTGCTTGGTAGAGAACAGTATCTCTGTTAGTGTAAGATTAGTGTAATGTGAATGTTTAAATGTAATTTTGTGTAATGCCTGTTAATGTAACCTGATTGCATTAGCAGAGAGTGTATTGACTCTGAAAGGGTTAATCAGTCAAGCCTCTAATGAACTGTGAAGCTGTGACCCTGAGTGTGCCTGGAACGCGTAGGGAGGATCCAGAGATAAGATTTCGTTCGTCCTTCTTACTTCAGTGCTTTTGTCTTGTTTTTTCTTTTTGGTTTGGTGTCAGCGTGAGTGTGTGCTGTATTTTTGCTCTACTCAGTAAAGCTATACGTTTGCTTTTACTGAAGTCTCAAAGTGTTCGCTCTTCTAAGCTTCAAAGCTTCTGTTGCACTCTGACAATCTCGACCTTAAAACTCCCATAATTCCTTTCCACTGCCCTGTTGGGTTTGAATTCTGGAGATAAAGTCAAAAACATATGGGGGGTGGGCAAAGCTTCCACAGCTCCAATATAGGCAGTTGTGGTCATCTCCCTTTGTCCAATTCTCTTGATTCTGTTTTGGGGTGAGGAACTTCAGTAGGTTTGAGCCATTTCCCACAGGGATCCACTGTGGTCTGCACCCATCAAAACATTTTTTGTCTCGCTCCCAAGCTCTTTATCTCTTAAAATACAAACAAACAGATAATGATTTCTTCCTATGGAGCGAGGCCACATATCTGGCTTTTGAGGTCTCCAGGGGTTTGATTCTCTTCAGTTTGATCCAAAAATACATTTGTGGGTGGGTTGGTGAATTGCATGAAATGAACATTTGGTCCAGAGATCCTGAATTATGTGACAGCTGCAGAGACAGAGCATATTGTAAATTGTGCAGCTGGATCTTCAGCAATGCTTTCTGTACAGTGTGAGCCTAGGCTTTCTCAGTCCTTTTGCAAAGAAAAAATAAATTGTGTGCACTTTTAAATACTATTTCTGTGTATTGTGAAGTTGTCTCAGTTGGGAAAGCTCCCTAAGAGGGTGGGTTGTTAATAACAAAACTAATAATAGAAAAAGGCAAACTGAATACTATGAACTATAAACAGTGAAGGCTGAACATGTTTGCCATCTGTATTTTGTTAGTGCTCAGGGAGTGACAAATTGCTGTGCAGAGCCTTGAAATACTTCCTCCAAATTCTGAGAATCTTATTCATCAGCTTCTCCTGCTATTAGGGTCTTCCTGGGGATAAATGTCCATATGCTTCCGAGGACCTGCTATTTCTCTGGGATCTTTAGGTGAAGCTGAGATTCTTTATGTATCAGAAACCTATGCCGGACTTCCGGTGGACATGGCGATGGGACTGCCTCGCTGAGAGTGAGCTCCCAGCGAGGACCTGTGTTGTGGCGGCTAGGTTGAGCTGAATGCTCCCCCCTTTGCCGGATTGAGTTTGCAAAGGTGCCGCGGCTTGAGACCCCAAAGATCTCCCCCCCCTCAAGGAGGAGAGGTCGAGTGGGTCCGAGCAACACAGGGGAAAGCGAGCCGCCCCACGAGGATCGAACCGCAAGGTCCGTTTAACCGCCGCCGATCCATTCACAAATTAGAAGAAGAAGTTGAAATAAAGAAAGCCCAGATTGGGTGGAGAAGCAAGAAAGACCCCAGCAACAGGTAACGGGACAAGATCCCACACTTT